AGGATTGAACTTTAGTCTAAAACAAAGATTCCAAACTTCCAGTTTATTAATAAATTCGGTTTGAACCATGCACTTTTTTGTAAATTTCGATGTGGGTTCTGCGCAAAGATACTGTGGATGGCGTAGCCGGCGTTATATGCAAAATAAATGCTGTATACCTTTCACAGTAGAAGAGGAGCTCCCGCCCTCTTCTCCAGCAACACAGAAAAGATAATTCTCATTAGTAAGGCTTACAATCCCTAAGCGCGGCCGAAGGCAGAATCAATCGCAACCAGGTGGTGGACCTAACAAAAGCATATTTTCAATGGCTTGGAAGAAGCTGTTATTGCATTAACTGGATTGAGAACCAGTTCTTCAGGCATAGCAGAAGTTATAGCTTGTGGCTCAACAATTCAACCAGAAGTCTGACATAGATGCGTCCATGGTTACTCTGCCCGACAGCTCCGCATACCTTTGTGAATCCATTGCCATAGCGCGCTCTTACTCCACTGCTATAATTGCAAATGCATAGAATCCATAATTCTCCTCTAAATGTGTAAAATTAACCAATTTTACTACCTTTTTTACCTTTTTAATTTGTTTTCCTTCATACAGCTGACTTCGAAAAACAACTGATAGCTGGCAATGCCGCACATTTTTCCGCAAGGGTTGCAGCATGTCGATTTTTAGTTTTTCGTAACGTAGCTATAGGGTTGCCAGATGTACTGCTTTTGGGAGTATACGTACTCCTTTTTATTGCAATGTACTCCCTTGTACTCCCCAAAAAAATATATGGAAATGTACTCCTTTATTAGTTTTGTACTTCTTTTCTTCTCCTTTTTCCAGCTTAATATTGTTGTTAAATAATAACTGCCGCACAGTTTTTTTTTTTTTTTTAATAATAGGGACCTTTATAGATTTTGCGAAAATTTTATTAATTCGTTTTTAAATTTTAACCTTCATTTGGGTTTACCAGCGGGTTTGGGAGAAAAGCGCAAGCGGCACGCAAGTCTTCATCGGTTACTTTATTACATATCTTCTGTAAATATAGGCTAATTTCCCCCATTTGGGTCCTTTATACTCCGTCTTTTGTCCAACATAAGGCCTCATACATAGCAATCGAAAATACTCCGAACCGGTGACTAGGAGGGCGACCAACACATACAGACGTGAGTGCCGCATGAATTTATCTCCCAAAGCTGGCAAATGCAAATAAGGATTAAAATTTTAAAACTAATTAATAAAATTAATGTAAAGTATTTACAAAGTTAACAAAAAAATACTCTTTTTCGCAACATCTATAAAGGACCTTTTATTTTTCAAAAAACCTGTGCGAAAGTTATTATCTTACGCCCTGTACTTTGCCATTCATATTGTGGCAAGCACTACTTAGTAAGCAAAGTTAAGTGTGATAGTGAAAAGGTGTAGGCATGGTCGTAGCAAATTAGGTGCGGAGCGCTCGGGTATAAAAATCAGAAAAATATTAAATTAATTATAAGGCTTAAATTAAAAAACTGGCCATATATTAAGAAAGAGTTTGAAATTCTTTTGTAGAATTTAGTTGGGGAAAATTTCCTATAAGGGCGGAATGAATATATACACAAACAAATGTTCGGTTATGGTTAAAACAATTCAAGTTTTTGTATTGAATTTTTGGTTTAAAATTTTTTTCTTTTCAGTAGGGTTTTTTGCACATTATATTTTCTGTGAGAATCGATCGTAATAGATACGGAGAGCGACTGGAACACGGCTGTTTGTCAAAAGCATACGATTTCGAGCTCGCGTAAATGTGCAATTGCTAAATGCGATAGCATGAACGCTCTTCGAAAACATATGTTCGAAAGTGCAAAATCTTGCATTTTAAATGCAGCAAAAACTCTGCATTAACCGTTAACCATGCCATATTTGAAGAACAGTGGCAAGGCGAGTTCACACTAGTTGCGAAATAGTCAGAATCAGTCAGATTTTACTGGAAATCGATCCCGTACTCGGTTCTCTGACTATTGAGAGGACAAAAAAGAGAGTAAATACGGTTCTCTTTCTGTCTGAAGTTACCAGTTAAAGTCCGAGAATTTTTTGCTGGTAAATTCTGATAAATGTGTCAAACGATCAGCTGTAGTGTGTTTGGCAACCAAATTGTAAACAAAAGAAAAGTGCACTCTGCTAATTCATGTTGAAAAGTATTTAATTACTTGTTTAAGTGGATTCTAAAGAATTTGAAAGTATTTTTGATTATTTACATGTGTGGGCTGAATCACTCTTGCTAACAAGTGCTACTTTGNTGAAGTTACCAGTTAAAGTCCGAGAATTTTTTGCTGGTAAATTCTGATAAATGCTTCAAACGATCAGCTGTAGTGTGTTTGGCAACCAAATTGTAAACAAAAGAAAAGTGCACTCTGCTAATTCATGTTGGAAAGTATTTAATTACTTGTTTAAGTGGATTCTAAAGAATTTGAAAGTATTTTTGATTATTTACATGTGTGGGCTGAATCACTCTTGCTAACAAGTGCTACTTTGGACTGAGTAGGCAATTCAGGGGTAAAGTCCTCTCTCGACGTACGAAGACCACGCTCTATAAGTCNATTATTTACATGTGTGGGCTGAATCACTCTTGCTAACAAGTGCTACTTTGGACTGAGTAGGCAATTCAG